GGGCTGCCTGTGCCCGCTCTCCTCGCTCCCCGGGCTTTCTGGAGCTCCACGTGCCCTCAGCGAGGTTTGGCTTCCCAAGCAGCTCCGCCCGGCTGCCTCTCCCTGAGGTCAGCTATCTAAACAGAGGTGTTGCCCAGCTGCCGGCTGCTGATAGAGCCGAAACAAGTCACAGGGAGACGTGAGAGCGAGTTTTTAACGCAAGTGATCCCTCCTGCTTGTGCTACATAAGGAGATAATGAGGGAATGGAGCTGGTGCTTACGTTATCTCCAGCGGCCGTCTGAAATGATACCTCACAAATATGAAAGTTCACAACTTCCAACCTAATTACAGTGGGCTGGCAGCGTATGCATGTGGAGAGCTTAAGGAGGGTTACTGTCAGCGCACCGGGTCTTTTTAAGTTCTCTAGAAGCCATTCCAGATAGAGATTTATCCTTTAATAAAGGAAAACAAAAGCTGAACTTCTGGAGGACAAGGTAGCACCTCCCTGGGTGTTGCCGAGTACCAGAATGACGCAGCGCTATGAATACAAGGGCAAAAATGACCGCTTCCTCCCTCCTCTGTCATCCCATCGTTCCACCAAGCGAACACCTGGTGTTTACATCCCAAGGCCTTACCTATCCTACAGTCACCCAGATGATTTAAAATTAGAATAAAAATCATAGAGAACGTATTGTGCTTGTACTTTCCCATACAAAGAGCATGTTTCATTTTCATTAATCCATGAAAAGTAATTTATGCAGCTGACATTTAAATTACAAAGATTCAGATGATTAATGCATACAGAAAAATTCTGTGTGCTTTATCACAGGCTTAAGGAAAAAAATGGCTCCGGGCCTGGCCATGTGACAGACTGAGCACTGCCACCTTCCAGTGACGGCAGCGGAGCTGTGCAGGCTCATTCCCTCTCGGTTACAGTAATTTGTCAAGCATAGAAAATATATATGTGTGTGTAAATGTATGCATTCCGTGGCATAATTTTTAACTGATCTTTCAAAATCTGGGACAGGTTTGAAGAGGAAAAGGTGAAAATTATGAGACAGATTTTCATTCTTGCCTGCTACTAATTCTTTTTTATGTGTGTGACAGTAAGGTAGCAGCATCACCAGCTCCATAATCCTGCCAATGTGCCTTGTACTTGGGGATAAATCAGCAGTCTATGCCCATTCATTCCTTGGTCTTCCCTTCATAAGTAGCAGGAACACAGGAAAAATGCAAATAGGGAAGCCTCTGTCCTCTGTGAAAGTGTGTGGCAGCTACTGAGAATGGGCACCATTCAGGGTGTCGGGCGGTGACAATCCTGTGCTAACCCGGCCTGCATTTTGAAGGAATATGAAAGAGTTTTTCTGTAACATCACTGGCCTCTGGAGCAATCCATTTCTTTGCCTATGGGAAATAATCACTTCTGTCATTGTTTAATAGTACTTTGTAGTAAATAATAGGCAGCATCCTGGTGAAATCATTAGCTTTTATAGTCAAAGTCGATGGAAATTTTGATGTTTTGTCTACTTCTCTAGCCAGAGGTTTTTATGAAAGCACTTGATAAACTGTAACTGTAAAGTCAAAAGGATTTCTCCTTCCTATTCCCTATGTTAATTTCACTGATAAATGATATTCAATGGAGGAATCTGTCTTTTTATGGTGACTTGACCCTAATTAACGTGAATGTTTTCGATGAATGACATCTCAGGTATTCCAGCTATATGCAGAATTATCATCATGATTGATTGCCCAGGCCATTTCTGCAATAATAAACTTTCATTACAGCATCTTTGATAAAAATCACAATTCTCTGGCAAGTTAATAATTTATGCAAATTAAATGCATATTTATTTACAAGCTTTATACACTGTATGTGGCAAACAGGATAAGGAAGTTCTTTGTTACATCACCAAATACAGGTCATGCAAGTAAATAAACCTTTAAGCAGCCTTAAGGGAAAGTTCTAGAAACATATAGTATCTCTGTGTGTGTGTATATATAGAGAGAGTATATTTATAGTATATATATAGTATTTACTATAGTAGATACCCTGCAGAAGCGTAGCACTGGGTCCTACCAGAGATCACAGCAATAACCACACTGTTTTCACAGGCAATGCGAACAGCAAGATCACAGTCAGGAAAATACAGTTACTTTCCAATCTACCACAGACTCAAAGATCACACTAGTTACAAAGTTATATCTATTCATAATGGGTCAGAAGAGCGATTAATTGTCAGCAACAGGATATATCTGAACCCATGCTACTTTGTTGATGAGAACAGAGCACTGCCAGGCAAAACACCAGGCATTCATTTCAGGCCCAGGAAACAAGATCTAAAATTTTAAGTTTGATCTTCACCCAGTGCTATTCCCTCTCTTCTTTGTCATTCCCCCTCAGGAAATGGGTCATTCCCAGGTGAAAGCAATTATTTCTCAGAGGGACTCGTTCCTTTGGAAGAGCAATGACAGACATTTCCAGCTAAACAGAAATAAAAGGCTTGAGCAGCGTGCCAAAGACCAGATCACAATACACTCGAATATTTGTCTATTTTGTCCAGAAGTGGAAGTTATTATCAGCCTTCAGCTACAACTCAGCGTGCTCTCCATACCATGCATTATGGAGAAAGGCTAGCCAAAAGTCTGGTGTTGTCTTCCTTGAATCCATGGCAGAGCTGATCCTGCCTAGCCTGAAAGACTAGTGGTTTTGCCTGACCTGGCCCTAAAAGCACTCTACATTTCAGCCTTACGCTTGAGAAAGAGGAGAGAGGAAACACAAGTGTGAGCTAGAGGGAAGACAGCAATATCACCACATACAGTGAATGCAACTTTTTTTTTATTTAGATATGACAACCTAGTGTCTAAAAAGCATGGGTGGGCCCCTGACTGGATAGTACGTACGATATCATAATTACTATTAGTAGTACCAGCTATCTACGAGGAGTCAACAACAGAATGTGCTTCACCACACAGAGCAGCTTCAAGTTCCATGCAGTGTAGACTCTTCTATTTATCGCTCTTGTTAAACCAATTCTGCACTCACTTCCAAACTGCAGGATTTTGTTGCCCCTCACCTGAGCAGGTGTTATTACAAGCCCAAGGGCTAACCACCATGCTTACTGTGGTATGCCAAAGGGGCCCTAGTCACAGGCCTCCTCACATCCTTGTCCTCGGAGGCCGCGTGCAGCCCAGCTCAGCGTTCCAGAAGGACAGGAATCGCCACTGAGCAACTTCAGTTCAGCCTTCATAAACCTTTGGGTTAATTAGTAGTTAGCTGATGGTGGTTAGAAAACAGCATCTGGCTTATTTTGAGGACCTGGATTGGTAACTCTTGTCCTGGATACATCCAACTGAGTAACATCCATACCCCTCTTCTGCTGCCTTCCAATGCTCTGCAGAATGAAAAACTGTTCTCCTTCAGTGCTTTCACAGAGGCAGAGCTTGCACTGCTGCCACTGCAACAGGTTCTGCAATTCACCCCACTAACAGATGCACTTCATTAACACCAATGTAATTTGTACCCATGAGACCAAATTTGGGCTTCTTGAAATGTGGTATGTATGTTAGCAAAACATAAGCACGTTAGGAAAACCACATGCAAAAGGGAGATACTGGGCAGACCTTCTAATACAAATTATGACTATCCAAATAACCTGCTCAGGCTTTGCTGCCGCAAAGTCAATGTTCCCAGTGTTTGTTCCAGTACAGCCTTGTCTGGTAAGAACAGCTCTACAGCTGACTCTCATGCAGGGA